GGGGCTTCCAGGTCATAGGTAGGTAAGAGATAAATGGTTGCATTCTTTTGACTTTCTGATGAGCCTCTCGAAATGAAGCAATCAGATATGCATTTGTCTCAGTGAACAGAGAGGTGACTTTGAATAGAATGGAAGGCAGGTTTGCCCTAAGCAGTTCCCAGCTTAACTCTTCCCTTTAGCTTAGTGATTTTGGGGCCCCAAGATTTATTTTCCTCTCACAATACTATAAAACATGTTAATGCACTTCTATTGGTTAGGCTCCTTTTGATTGCAAGCAACAACTACCCAATTCAATGTAGCTTATGAAAAAGGAAAATATATTTTAAGGATACAAGGGTATCTTGGAGCATCTCTGAGAACTCAAGATTTCAGGAATGATCTAAGGACAGGGAAGGGAGTTTCTCTTTGGGCCAATTCTTTTTTTTTCCCCCCCAAGACAGGGTCTCGCTTTGTCATCCAGGCTGGAGTGAACTGATACAAACGGGGCTCGCTGTAGCCTCCACCTCCCAGGCTCAAGCAATCCTCCTGCCCCAGCTCCCCAAGTAGCTGGGACTACAGGCATGTACCACCAAGCCTGGCTAAGTTTTGTATGTATGTTGTAGAGACAGGGTATCACCATGTTACCCAGGCTGGTCTCAAACTCACGAGCGCAAGCCATCCACCTGCCTTGACCTCCCAAAGTGCTGCGATTGGAGGCAGGAGCCACCACACCTGGCTTAAAAGCTCCTCCTGATGGTTGGCCTCCTTCTCTGGTGATGGCTGGCTCCCTCTGCTCCTTAGGCACATGAGGTGGGATGCACAGTAACAGCTCTGATCCAATCCAACTGGTTCTTTTTAGAGGAAAGATCTACAGCTGGAGCAGTCAACAGAGGCAAGGTCACCTTGTGGCTGCTGCCGCTGCAAACATGGGAAGGAAGCGGGGGGCGGGGGAGGGCAGAAGATCATATATTGGAAGAGGGTGCTGGGGAGACCATCCAATAAGGGCCAACGGCAGCCCTTCTCATAAGAATGAGAAATGTCATTCTGACCAGCAGTTGACAATTAAGGGTCATCCAAGTGAGCTACATGCTTATCCAAAAAGGACTGGCTAGAGACAAAAGAGGAAGTGGATTACACACTTATCCAAAAAGGATTAGTTAGAGACAAAAGAGGAAGAAGAAATAAAAGGGACGGGTTCATTTTCTCATGCACTTCCTGTCTGTGAGTTTGTCAGGCAGAGCCTGAAGTGCTCTGTGGTTCCTGGGCTATTGCCCGTCATTAGCAGGACTGGAGTTTGGCTGCAGAGGGAGATGACAGTATAAAAGATACTCAGGAAGCTGGTTGAAAGCCATTAAAATGTTTTTAGAGCCAGGAAGGGAGCCATTAAAATGTCTTAGGAGCTGTGACCTGAGATGAATACTATAAGAGCATGTTGGATTTAATCAGTGACATACAAATAGGCTGAAGGATGTTTTTGTTGTTGTTTTGGTTTTTTTTTTGAGACAGGGTCTTGTCCTGTCACTCAGGCTGAAGTGCACTGGCACAATCATGGCTCACTGCAGCCTTGACCTCCCGGGTTCAAGTGATCCTCCCAACCTCAGCCTCTAAGTAGCTGGAACTACAGGTGTGCACCACCACGCCCGCCTAATCTTTTTTGAATTTTTGTAGAGAGGGGTCTTGCTATGTTGTCCAGGCTGGTCTCAAACTTCTGGGCTCAAGCAACCTGTCTGCCTTGGCCTTCCAAAATGCTGGGATTACAGGCATGAGCCACTCCATCTGGCCTGCACTCTCTTCTGGTCCATGTTTGTTACAGCTAGAGCTGAGCTTTCGCTCGCCGTCTACCATTGCTGTTTGCCGTCCACCACTGCTGTTTGCCATCCACCACTGCTGTTTGCCATCCACCACTGCTGTTTGCCACCATTGCAGACCTGCCGCTGACTTCCATCCCTCTGGATCCGGCAGGGTGTCCACTGTGCTCCTGATCCAGCGAGGCGCCCATTGCCACTCCCGATCAGGATAAAGGCTTGCCGTTGTTCCTGCACGGCTAAGTTCCCGGGTTCGTCCTAATCGAGCTGAACACTAGTCACTGGGTTCCACGGTTCTCTTCCATGACCCACGGCTTCTAGTAGAGCTATAACACTGACCGCATGGCCCAATATTCCCTTCCTTGGAATCCGTGAGGCCAAGAACCCCAGGTCAGAGAGCACGAGGCCATCACCTTGGGAGCTCTGGGAGCAAGGACCCCCTGATAACAGTATGACCATAGCTCACTGCAGCCTTGAACTCCTGGGTTCAAGTGACCCTCCCACCTTACCCTACCAAGTAGCTAGGACTATAGGTGTGTGCCAACATGCTGGCTAATTTTTGTGTTTTCTTGCAGACATGGAGGCCTGCTGTGTTGCCCAGGCTGGTTTCAAACGCCTGACCTCAGGTGATCCTCCTGCCTCAGCCTCCCAAAGTTCTGGGATCACAGACTTGAGTCACTGTGGCCAGCCAGAATTTAAATTCCACTGAATTTCTGTTGTTTGACCAACCATTCTTGCCGAAGCCTTGACACTCTTGCAAACCTTTGCAAGTGCATTTCTTCTTTTTCAGAAGGCTCCTTGGTCTCCAAGTCTTTTTTCCACAGAGTGTAACCTGAAGCCAGGAGGCCTGTTGCAAAACCAATCCCATTTGAAAGCAGGGAATGTGAACTCACCTATTGTCATAAAGATTATAAAAGAGGTGCTGGCTCACTCCTGTAATCACAGCATTTTGGAAGGCTGAGGCAGGCGGATCACCTGAGGTCAGGAGTTCAAGACCAGCCTGGACAACATGGCAAAACCCCATCTCTACTAAAAATACAAAAATTAGCCAGGCATGATGGTGCACACCTGTAATTCCAGCCACTCTACTCGGGAGGCTGAGGCAGGAGAATTGCTTGAACATGGGAGGTGGAGGTTGCAGTGAGCCAAGACGGCACCACTGCACTCCAGCCAGGCGACAGAGCGAGACTATCTGAAAAAAAAAATTATAAAAGAGGGTGGGTGCGGTGGCTCATGTCTGGAATCCCAGCATTTCAAGAGGCAAAGGAGTGAAGATTGCTTTAGTCCAGGAGTACAAGACCAGCCTGGGCAACATAGTGAGACCCTGTCTCTACCAAAAATTAAAAAATTATTTGGGCATGATGGCACATGCCTGTAGTCCCAGCTACTTAGGAGGCTGAGGTCGGGGGATCACTTGAAGTTTTAGTCTTGGAAGTCTCTTGCCCTGGAGGTCGAGGCTGCAGTAACCCATGATCATGCCACTGCACTCCAGCGTGGGCAACAAAGCAAGACCCTGTCTCAAATTTAAAAAAAAAAAAAAAAAAAAAAAGGCTTAGGGAGCCACTGAAGAATCACTCTGGGCTGTAGTTCACAGGGGGTGTACACAGGTTAAGAAGAAGACATCTGCATGTGTTTCGGTAAAGAACTAAAGGGATAAAGTTGCGGTGGCTGGGCAACCTTGCAAACATTCTGGGAAGGAATGCAGAATGCAAAACCCAGCTGAAAAATCTAGAAGAAATCATGTCCCAGTTAAAGAAGATATTCCTTCTGAGTCCTTCAAGCTCTACTACTTCATAAGTATAAGAACCAGCCAGGTGTGGTGGCTCTTGCTTGTAATCCCAGCACTTTGGGAGACTGGGGTGGGCAGATCACTGGAGGCCAGGAGTTTGAGACCAGCCTGGCCAACATGGAGAAACCCCATTTCTACTAAAAATACAAAAAATTAGCCGGGCGTGGTGTTGGGTGCCTGTAGTCCCAGCTACTTGGGAGGCTGAGGTAGAAGAATTGCTTGAACCCAGGAGGTGGAGGTTGCAGTGAGCTGAGATTGTGCCACTGCACTCCAGCATGGGCAACAGACTGAGACGCTGTCTCAGACAAAAAAAAAAAAAAAAGTATAAGAACCAACAAAAATATACTCAAAACAGAATGAGATGCAAAGAAAGCTTGCAGAGCTAAGGAAATAGAGGATAAAGCATCACCCTTACAGAATCAAAAAACTGGAAACAGCAAGGAACAGCTGGAAAATGGCTCCATAGTTCTAAAACCACTTGCTATGCCAGTGGTTCTAAGTGCAGTCCCAGGACCAGCAGTGTCAGTACCACCTGAGAACTTGTTAGAAATGAAGTGAATTGGTGTGGTGAGGGGAACCAGCAATCTGTTTTAATCAGCCCTTCAGGTGGTTCTGATGCCCACTAAAATTTGAGACTATGTTCTTCTCCCTCTCAGGCTAAAGAGTTGGGCATAGCAATGTTGTTCAGCTCCAGATTCCAGAACTAGACACCTTTCTCCCAGAGAGATTCTTATGAACATTCCTTTTCAAGAACAGAAAGAGGCTGGGTGTGATGGCTCACGCCTATAATCTCAGCACTTTGAGAGGCCGAGGCAGGCAGATCACCTGAGGTCAGGAGTTCGAGACCAGCCTGACCAACATGGAGAAACCCCATCTCTACTAAAAATACAAAATTTGCCAGGTGTGGTGGCACATGCCTGTAATCCCAACTGCTCAAGAGGCTGAGGCAGGAGAATCACTTGAACCTGGGAGGTGGACGTTGCGGTGAGCCGAGATCATGCCATTGCACTCCAGCCTGGGCAACAAGAGTGAAACTTCATCTCAAAAACAAAAACAAACAAAAACAAAAACAAAGAAGAAGAAAAAATTAAAAAGGCTGGGTGCCGTGGCTCACGCCTTTAATCCCAGCACTTTGGGAGGCCGAGGCAGGCAGATAAACCAAGGTCAGGAGTTCGAGACCAGCCTGGCCAACATGGTGAAATCCTGTCTCTACGAAAATTACAAAAATTAGCCAAGCGTGATGGCAGACTCTTGGTAATCCCAGCTCCTCAGGAGGCTGAGACAGGAGAACAGCTTGAACCCAGGAGGCAGAGGTTGCAGTGAGCTGAGATCGCACCACTGCACTCCAGCCTGGGCGACAAGAGCGAGACTCCATCTCAAAAAAAAAAAAAAAAAAAAAAGAACAGAAAGGGAATCAAACCACAACATCATTCATTCATTCCACCAACCTTTATTAAGCATCAAGCTCCGAAGCAGATGTTTACCAGTTTTGCACAACTTTGTCATGGACCAGCTGGCCTTGTGGCTCAGTGGCATCTGGAGGCAGGAGGGCCAAGTAGACAGGGCTTTCAGCCCCCTCCTCCACAGTCCTGATGCTGTATTTCCCATCCATGTCTGTCTGCACTGGTCCTGGGCAGCACGCATTCACCAGAATCCTGTCGGCTTTCCTCTTCTCATCCAGACGCCTGGCCAGAATCCTCGATAAGACCGTGACCCCCAACTTGGACACTCCGTAAGGTGAGCTGGGCCAGCCTTCCCTCTCATGCACCTCATTTTTTGTGTCCTCCACGAACTTTTTCATGAGATCCACCAGGTCTCCCTCTGTGAGTGTGTCACTGTGGAACTTTTCCTGCAGATCTTCACTGCAGTTTTCAAAAGCCCTTAAACACTGTAAACTACTGATATTCACCACTCTCCCTGAAACAGTGAGAAAAATATGAAAGCATATCACAGAGATACAACCATTGGTTGAATATACCAAACATATAATTGAGTCATTGTGCAGGGGTTTTTTTGTTTGTTTGTCTGCTTGTTTTTGAGACGGAGTCTCGCTCTGTCGCCCAGGCTGGAGTGCAGTGGTGCAATCTCGGCTCACTGCAAGCTCCGCCTCCCGGGTTCATGCCATTCTCCTGCCTCAGCCTCCCGAGTAGCTGGGACTACAGGTGCCCGCCACCATGCCCGGCTAATTTTTTTGTATTTTTAATAGAGACGGGTTTCACTGTGTTAGCCAGGATGGTCTTGATTTCCTGACCTCGTGATCTGCCCGCCTCGGCCTCCCAAAGTGCTGGAATTACAGGCATAAGCCACCACACCTCGCCTTTTTTTTTTTTTTTTGAGATAGAGTCTCGCCCTGTTGACCAGGCTGGAGTGCAGTGATGCCCTCTTGACCCACTGGAAACTCCGCCTCCCAGGTTCAAGCAATTCTCCTGCCTCAGCCTCCTGAGTAGCTGGGATTACAGGTGCCCACCACCACACCTGGCTAATTTTTGTATTTTTAGTAGAGACAGGGTCTCACCATGTTGGCCAGGCTGGTCTTGAACTCCTGATCTCAAGTGATCTGCCTGTCTCAGCCTCCCAAAGTGTTGAGATTATAGGCGTGAGCCACCACGCCTGGCCATTGTGCAGGTTTAATTGCTGATTAAAAACAAAAAAGTGATTGGACACTGTGGCTCATGCCTGTAATCCCAGCACTTTGGGAGGCCGAGAGGGCTGGATCACTTGAACCCAGGAGCTCAAGACCAGCCTGGGCAATGTGACAAAACTCTATCTCTACTAAAAATACAAAAATTAGCTGGGTGTGGTAGCATGTGCCTGTGGTCTCAGCTACTCAGGAAGCTGAGGTAAGAGGATCACCTGAATCCAGGAAGTAGAAATTGCAGTGAGCCATGATCACACCACTACACTCCACTACACTCCAGCTTGGGTGACATGAATGAGACCCTTTCTCAAAAAGTAACAATGAAATTTTTAAAAAAATTTAAAATGTGACTATAGAAGGCATAAAATCTATGCACCCATGGGTTTTGATATTTTTTTGGCCCTATGCTCCCAAGGGGAAGAACACACCTCCATCAGTGAGAAGGGCTCCCTTTCTCAGGGATTCTCTGAGAGATGGGTGAGGTAGTAAATTTGTAGATTCCCCAGGCAGTTTTATTTTTACTTTTACTTAAATTTATTTATTTATTTATTTATTTATTTATTTATTTATTTAAAGACATAGTCTTGCTCTATCGGTAGTAAATTTGTAGATTCCCCAAGCAGTTTTATTTTTACTTTTAAATTTATTGATTGATTGATTGATTTTTAAGACACAGTCTTGCTCTATCACCCATGCTGGAGTGCAATGGTGCAATCTTAGATCACTGCAACCTCTGACTCCCGGGTTCAAGCAATTCTCCTGCATCAGCCTCCCAAGTAGCTGGGATTACAGGTGCCCGTCACCACACCCAGCGAATTTTTGTAATTTTAGTAGAGACGGTGTTTTGCCATGTTGGCCAGGCTGGTATTGAACTCCTGACCTGAAGTGATCTGCTCGCCTCGACCTCCCAAAGTGCTAGGATTATAGGTGTGAGCCTCTGCACCCAGCCTAAAATTTTTAAATTTTGTTTTGTGAGACAGGGTCTCGTTCTGTCACCTAGGCTGGAGTGCAGTGGCACAATCTCGGCTCACTGCAACCTCCGCCTCCCAGGATCAAGTGATTCTCCTGCACCAACCTCCCAAGTAGCTGGGACGACAGGTGTGCGCCACCACGCCCAGCTAATTTTTGTATTTTTTTAGTAGAGATGAGGTTTCACCTGTTGGCCATAATGGGCTTGAACTCCTGACCTCAAGTGATCCACCCGCCTTGGCCTCCCAAAGTGCTGGGATTACAGGTGTGAGCCACCGTGTGCCCAGCCCCCAGCAGTTTTAGGAAACCACTCCTCCCCAGCATACACACTCCAAGTACTTATAAACCTGCTTTCTGAGGGACAGTGCTCTCACCCTAAGGACTAATGCTCTCAATTTCCTAGGCACACCCAATTTCCTAGGACCGTGGGCAGCCACCCCAATTCCTTAGTGCCACAACCAGCAGCAGTAAGGAATCCCTGGGGATGACTCTGTCTGTCCTTCATTATGGATACTTCACATGTGGAATGGGCTGTTTTTCCATCCTGGTTTTTATGTCATTACTTTATTTTTTGAGACAGAATCTCTCTCTGCCACCCAAGCTGGAGTGCAGTGGCAAGATCTCAGCTCACTGTAGCCTCCACCTCCCATGCTCAAGTGATCCTCCTGCCTCAGCCCCACAAATAGCTGGGACCACAGGCACACACCACCACGCCTGACTAATTTTTGTATTTTTTGTGGAAACGGAGTTTCTCCATGTTGGCTGGGCTGGTCTCAAACTCCTGAGCTCAGGAGATCTGCCTGCCTCTGCCTCCCAAAGTGCTAGGATTACAGACGTGAGCCACTGCATCGGGCCTGATTTCATTACTTTTTAGTCTCTATTTGATAATATTAATATTCATTAGATTATGAATATTCATGTTGATCATAATTCACAGCTACTAAAGGGACAATTGTGCCCACAGAAACAAATATGCAGGCCAAATATTTTACAACAATTTGAAGTACTGGTGGAAATCCAAAAACCAGTAAATGTGTTAATTTACACATTTCATCAGCATCAAACCCCACTAATTTTAGGGAGTTCTTTTCTTACATATTATTCCAAATGCATATTCTCTGTGTCCAGTAGGATCTCTAGTTTTTTTGTTTGTTTGTTTGTTTTTTGAGATAGAGTTTTGCTCTGTGATCCAGGCTGAAGTGCAGTGGCACGATCTCGGCTCACTGCAACCTCCATCTCTCGAGTTTAAGCGATTCTCCTGCCTCAGCCTCCCAAGTAGCTAGGATTACAGGTGTGTGCCACCACGCCCAGCTAATTTTTGTATTTTTAGTAGAGATGGAGTTTCACCATGTTGGCCAGGCTGGTCTCAAACTTCTGACCTCAGGTGATCTGCCTTCCTCAGCCTTCCAAAGTGCTGGGGTTGCAGGCGTGTGCCACCATACTGGCCGGATCTGTAGATTTTATTTCATTTTCTGATTGGCATTCCCCACAGGTTCCCATTGCAGGGGGGCTGCACATTCTTATGGACCCCAATTCCACAAGAGAGACCCTCACTCTGTCCTTGGAAACTAGCACCTCACTCATCCCCCCAGATACCTAGTACTATTCAGTATTTCTTTCCTTCCTTCTCTCTCTCACCTTCAAAGATGAAGTGAATGTATGTATTTCTTTCCTGTTACAGAGAAGTTGCAAGAATAGTTCGATAAACACCCTATATCCTTCACCTAAGTTCACTAATTGTTAATATTTTGCTATGTTTGCTTTTCCCTCTCTGTTCCTTTTTCTCTCCAAGTTGCTGATATCATAAACCTTCATCTTAAACACTTTAGTATTATATATGGTAACAAGGGCATTCCCCTACATTACTACAGTTATGACCACATGCTAGGCATTTATCGTTACATGACACTATTATCTAAAATATAGCCCATATTCAAATGTGTCCAAATTGTCCCAGTAATGTTCTTTTATAGTTTTTGTTTGTTTTAATCCAGGGTCCAAAGTAGGATCATGGATTGCATTTTTTTTTTTTTTTTTGAGACGGAGTCTTGCTCTGTTGCCCAGGCTGGAGTGCAGTGGCGCGATCTCCGCTCACTGCAAGCTCCACCTCCCAGGTTCACGCCATTCTCCTGCCTCAGCCTCCCAAGTAGCTGGGACTACAGGCGCCCACCACCATGCCCGGCTATTTTTTAATATTTTTAGTAGAGATGGAGTTTCACTATGTTAACGAGGATAGTCTCGATCTCTTCACCTCATGATCTGCCCACCTTGGCCTCCCAAAGTGCTGGGATTACAGGCATGAGTCACCACGCCTGGCCCATGGATTGCATTTAATTGTCTCATCTCTTTCATATATTTTAATGTAGAGTAGTTTGCAATGACCTTTTTTTTTTTTTGAAGACTGTAGACCATTATTTGGTGGTATTTCTCTCAAAGTGAATTGGTCTGATTTTCTCATGATGAGAGTCACATCAATATTTTGGCCAGGAATACTACATCAGTGATGTTGTGTTCTTCATTGCTTCCTAAACAGCTTTGTTCTCAAAAACTTGGTGGCTACAAGGAATTAAATGTAAAAGGGAAAGGAAGAAATAAAACACAGATCATAGAAGCTGTGCCTTCGAGGAAACAAATCCTCTTAAGGGGAGGAGGTGTCCTCTTTGATCTGAAGGCACACCTCTGGGAGAGAGGCCAGGGGCTGACGGTCAGCTTCGTCAGCCAGGTGGGTCACCCGCCCTGGGAAGGGCTGCACCCACACCACCCTCCACTGAGGTCCAGGTGGCCCCACCAGTCCCGAAACACCTGCTGCCTTGCTCTAGAAAGAGTAGGCAAGTTGCTCCCTCTAGTGGCTTAGTAGTTGCTTGGCCTATTTACTCAGAACCTCGAACAAATAAGCAAGTCAAATACAGATGGTCCCTCCCTTCTGATGGTTCGTTCCACTTAGGACTTACTGATTTCACTGATGGGTGAGGAAAGTGATATGCATTCTGCAGAATCTGTATTTGGAGCCCCCATACAACCATTCTGCATTTCACTTTCAGTACAGATTCAATAAATTACAGAAGATACTCAACACTTTATGATAAAATAGGCTTTGTGTTAGATGACTTTGCTGGACTACAGGCTAACGTAAGCATTCAAAGCACTTTAAAGCTACGTGAGGCTGATCTATGGTGTTTGGTAGGTCAGATGCATTAAATGCATTTTTTGATTGTTTGTTTGTTTGAGAGAAAGTCTTGCTCTGTCACCCAGGCTAGAGTACCGTGGCGCAATCATAGCTCACTGCAGCCTTAACCTCCAGGGCCCAAGCGATCCTCCCACCTCAGTCTCTTGAGAAGCTGCAGCATGCCGCTATGCCCAGCTAACTTTTAATTTTCATTTTTTGTGTAGAGATGGGGTCTCCCTATGTTACTCAGGATTAAGTGCATTCTTATGATATTTTCTTTTCCCTTCCTTCCTTCCTTCCCTCCCTCCCTCCCTCCTTTCCTTCCTTCCTTCCTTTCTTCCTTCCTTCCTTCCTTTTTTTTGATGGAGTGTGGTGCCGTCGCCCAGGCTGAAGTGCGGTGGCACGATCTTGGCTCACTGCAAGCTCTGCCTCCCAGGTTCACGTCATTCTCCTGCCTCAGCCTCCTGAGTAGCTAGAACTACAGGCACCCACCACCATGCCTGGCTAATTTTTTTTTGTATTTTTATTAGAGACGGGCTTTCACCGTGTTGGCCAGGATGGTCTTGATCTCCTGATCTCGTGATCCACCTGCCTTGGCCTCCCAAAGTGCTGGGATTACAGGTGTGAGCCACCGCACCTGGCTGCAAAAACTTCTTAACCTAAAAAGGTGAATGGTAGGAATTGTACTTGTACTCTTGTACTTGCTCAGTTTCTTAGGAAGATGGGATTGTAGAAAGCCTGCGGGGAGAACTGCAGGTGCTCTGAAAGGGGATGGAGTTTTAAAGGTGTCTTTAATAGCTTGCAGCTCTCAAGTTCCCATTCAAAAATTTATCAGGAGAAAACTTCCCAACCCTGAGTAAAAGACATCCCTACAATGGCTGCATCCCTATGCAGCCACAAAAAAGAGAAAAGCTTCCTGACCAAGTCTGGAGAGAGCCCCAGACATAGGGAGTAAAGAAAGCCAAGTGGCGAACATTGTATGAAATGTTACCTTTTGTGTAAAAAGGAGAGTTTTTAAAATGTGCATTTATATTGGCTTAGATTTGCATTTAGAAACTCCATCCCCTTTCAAAGCACCTCCAGTTCTCCCTGCAGGCTTTCTATGATCTCATCCCACTAAGAAACTGAGAGAGTACAAATGCATCTCTCACCATTCACCTTCTTAGGTTAAGAAGTTTTTACGGCTGGGTATAGTGGCTCAAGCTTGTAATTCCAGCATTTTGGGAGGCCAAGGAAGGTGGATAACCTGAGGTCAGGAATTCCAGATCAACCTGGCCAACATGGTGAAACTCCGTCTCTACTAAAAATACAAAAAAATTAGCTGGGTGTGGTGGTGCTCACCCATAACCCCAGCTACTTGGGAGACTGGGGCAGGAGAATCGCTTGCACCTGAGAGGCAGAGGTTGAAGTGAGTCGAGATTGTTCCACTGCACTCCAGCCTGGGCAACAGAGGGAGACTGTCTCAAGAGAAAAAAAAAAAAAACAAGTTTTTGCATCCAGAGATAATTTTGTTTGTTTGGTTTGTTTGGTTGTTTTTTTAAAAAGTGACGAGGATCTTGCCGTGTTTTCCAGCCTGGTCTTAAACTCCTGGGCTCAAGTGATCTTCCTGCCTCAGCCTCCCAAAGTGCTGACATTACAGCATGAGCCACCACACCTGGTCAATAATCATTATTCAAAATGTTAAATTAAGAAAAGCACACTTCTGGCCAGGTGCAGTAGCTCACGTGTGTAATCCCAGCACTTTGGGAGGCTGAGGCAGGTGGATCACTTTAGGTCAGGAGTTCAAGACCAGCCTGGCCAACATGGCAAAACCCTGTGTCTACTAAAAATATAAAAATCAGCTGGGCGTAGTCGCACATGCCTGTAGTCCCAGCTACTCAAGAGGCTAAGGCAGGAGAATCCCTTGAACCCGGAAGGTGGAGGTTGCAGTGAACTGAAATCTGCCACTGCACTCCAGCCTGGGCAACAGAGCAAGACTCTGTCAAAAAAAAAAAAAAAAACAATTTAAATAAGAACCACAGTTCTAAGAATCCACAGTTAACTTCTTGGGGAAGAAAATCCTCAAGGAAGCAAGCTTCCCTGTCCCCCAGCCCAGCTGTCATTTCACACTTCAGATTCTTTGCTAACGGTTGTCTCCCCTGCTAGACTTTCAGCTCCACAAATGAGATGGTCCCTGTCTATAATGCTCACCATTGCACACCCAGAACCCAGCATAATGCCTGGAATATGGCAGGCACTCCAATATTTGTAGGAAAAGTATAACAGTAACATTTATTGAACACCTGCAGGTATAGGCAAGATATTTCCTAATAAAGAAAATTTCTAGTCCAGGCACGGTGGCTCATACCTGTAATCCCAGCATTTTGGGAGGCAGAGGTGGGTGGATCACTTGAGGTTAGGAGTTTGAGACTAGCCTGGTCAACATGGTGAAATCCCATCTCTACTAAAAATACAAAATGAGCTGGGCATGGTGGTGCACACCTGTAATCCCAGCTACTTGGGAGGCTGAGACAGGAGAATCCCTTGAACTTGGGAGGTGGAGACTGCAGTGAGCCAAGATCCCGCCACTGTACTCTAGCCTGGATGACAGAGCGAGACTCTGTCTCAAAAAAAAAAAAAAAAAAGAATGAAAACTTCTTTTGGATTTTCTGAATCAACTTGAGAAAGTTTGGTACAAGAAGAAAGGAATATAGGAAAAGTCGTAATGCTAGAACAGATACCAAGGTCCAGAGATGAGCTAGATGTGGGCCCATCACCTTGGAGGGCTGGAGGACTCATGAGATTGACCAGAGGCAAGAGGCCTTTGGGAGCTCACAACATTCTATCATTCTGGGATTGAGTTCATGACATGGATCCCAAAGCATTGTGATATGTCATACTTACCTTTGAAACTTAAAGCTAAGGCTGGGCGTAGTGGCTCATGCCTGTAATTCCACCACTTTGGGAGGCCCAGGTGGGTGGATCACCTGAAGGTCAGGAGTTTGAAACCAGCCTGGCCAACATGGTGAAACTGCATCTCTACTAAAAATATAAAAAATTAGCCAGGCGTGGTGGTGGTGGTGGTTGTGGGTGCCTGTAATCCCAGCTACTCGGGAGGCTAAGGCAGGAGGATTGCTTGAACCCAGGAGGTGGAGGTTGCAGTGAGCCAAGATCATACCATTGCACTACAGCCTGCACAAGAGCAAAATTTCTTCCCACCACCCACACCCCTGCAAAAAAACAAAAAAAACAAAACCTTAAATGTTGGAGTGAGAAGCTAAACACTGGGAAAATGAAGCCATTTTCTATTTTTCCCCCTTCAGAGAACTAGCACCGCTGAGTGATTTCTGCAGGGCAGCCCTGCTCCGAGGAGCCTGTGGCCCGCTTCTTACTGAGGGAAGCAACCCGACTGTCCACACGCTGGGCTTACCATGAGGTTTCATTATCGGTAGTAACTCGTTGCACATGTTTCTAGTGGCAAAAAAATTTGTCTTCAGTGTCATCTCGGCTTTAATGTCAAAGGGCATTGGATCATCACCTTTCAGAAAGAGAAAGAAACAGAAAGAAAGTCATATTTTTCCCCCTGAAACTCACATGACAATGTGGATCCTAACTCCGAACAACTAAAGGGAAAAAAAAGTTAATTTTAAAACAATTTTTAAAAACGAGGTCAGTGATTCTCAAACTTTAGTGTGCATCCGAATCACTTGTAGAGTCACCGAATCACAAGTGAATCGTCCGAATCACTTGTAAGCTGTTAAAACACAGCTTTCTGGGCCTCACCATCAGAGTTTCTGATTGCAAAGGGCTGGAGTAGGGCTCCAGAATTTACATTTCTTTTCTTTCTTTTTTCTTTTTCTTTCTTTTTTTTTTTTTTTTTTTCTCCGAGATGGAGTCTTACTCTGTTACCCAGGCCGGAGTGCAGTGGCACAATCTCGGCTCACTGCAACCTCCACCTCTGGAGTTCAAGCGATTCTCCTGCCTCAGCCTCTGGAGTAGCTGGGATTACAGGCACGTGCCACCACGCCTGGCTAATTTTTTTATTTTTTGCAGAGATGGGGTTTCGCCATGTTGGCCAGGCTGGTCCCCAACTCCTGACCTCAAGTGATCCACCCGCCTCGGCTTTCCAAAGTGCTGGGATTACAGGCGTGAGCCATCGCACCTGGCCTGAGTTTGCATTGCTAAGTTCCCAGATGATGTGACAGCTATTGGTCTCTAGCCACACCTTGAGAACACTTGGCTTTGACTACCATTTCTCAAAGGTGCATAGGAGGGAGCTGGGGATTCTGTTGAAATGCAGATTTTTTTTTCTTTTCTTTTTTCTTTTCTTTTCTTTTTTTTTTTTTTTTGAGACTGAGTCTCAAAAAACTCAGTCTCAACTGAGTCTGTTGCCCAGGCTGGAGTGCAGGGGCATGATCTCCTCTCAGTGCAAACTCTGCCTCCTGGGTTCAAGTGATTCTTGTGCCTGAGCCTCCCCAGTAGCTGGGATTACAGGAGTGAGCCACTATGCCCAGCTAATTTTTGCATTTTTAGTAGAGACAGGGTTTCACCATGTTTCCCAGGCTGGTCTTGAACTCCTGACCTCAGGTTATCTGCCTGCCTCAGCCTCCCAAAGTGCTGGGATTACAGGCGTGAGCCACTGGGTCCAGCGGAAATGCAGATTTTAATTCAGCAGGTGTGGGGCAAGGCGGGAGATTCTGCCTTGCCATGAGTGCCCGGGTTTGCAGCTGCTGCTGGTCCATTCCCTACACTTTGAAAGGCAAGGGGAAGTCCCTCCGCCTGTCGTCCAGGAAGCCGGGTATTTATCCGCCAATTTCTCAGCCCATGACTGAGGGCTGCTTTAGGGGTGTTAATCCCCACTCCTGCACCCCAGCTCCCAGAAAGCCGGCTGGCTGAGTTGCCGGTGCGGGTCAAAGAAAGTCTCAGGTCCCCGTGTACAACAATGCGGAGTGCCTAGGGCCAAAGGGATGAGTGGAGACTTCTGCTCCCCCATCCTTCATTTCACTCCCTCTTAGGCTCCTCCCCCCCCAACTAGGTTGGAGGTGAAGCCGGCCTGTTTATTTCTCCGTGGTAACTTTTTTTTTTTTTTTTTTCCAGACGGAGTCTCGCTCTGTCGCCCATCCTGGAGTGCAGTGGCGCGATCTCGGCTCACTGCCTCCAAGGTTCAAGCGTTTCTCCTGCCTCGGCCTCCCAAAGTGCTGGGATTACAGGCGTGAGCCACTGCGCCCGTCCTGTAATTTTCTTCAGTAGTAGTTAGAATAAGTAATCTGATCCCCGCCCCTCTCCTTAAGGAAGATGCTTTTAAGACCACACACACATGTTTTATAACAAACATAAGCTCCCCGGGGGAGGGAACGAGAGGGCTCGCTTCCTTTTGGTCAGAGCCTATCAAAGCTCTGCATTACACAAATTGTGAAGTCCACCAAGTGCAAGTGCGCGCTAATCCTGTTCTAGCGATTCATTTCCTTCCCCAAGCAAATGCCTCCGGGCATCTATGAATGCGCCCTTTCAAGGAAAGCGAAAGCCCAAAGCGAGCGGTGACACTTTCTTTGCAGAGAAAATGTTTCTTGCGTTGGAAGGAAAGCTGATGAACTCCAGCAGGGCGTTGCCGCCTCCCAGGAGGCCAGTTTTCCTGCACACAGCAGCGGCTGACAGTTCGGGGAGGGCCCCGGGCCGCGCACAGGCCCACACAGGCCGGCGGGCGGGGCGCCCTGTGTCTGTCGCCCGGGCCCGCCTGGGGCTCAGCGAATCACGGAAAGCGAAAACCGCCTCGCGGGAGGCGTGGGCTGAGCGCATCCCTAGGGGCCGGCGCCACCCTCCTTGGTCACTCAAGTGGTTGGGTGGGGAGCCTGCGGCTGGCCGCCCCGCACCCTCGGAGCGCTCCAGGGGGCCCCAACCCAAGCCCTGCACCTACTCTTGAAGGCGACTGCCGCGTTGTTGACCAGCACATTGAGCCCGCCGTACTCCTTGCGCAGGAAGTCGCGCAGGGCGCGGATGCTCTGCAGGTCGTCGATGTCCAGTTGGTGGAAGCGCGGGCTCAGTCCCTCCGCCTGCAGCTGCTGCACGGCCGCCTGACCCCGCGCCACGTCCCGCGCGGTGAGCACCACATCCCCCGAGAACTGTCGGCACAATTCGCGCGCGATGGCCAAGCCGATGCCCCTGTTGGCCCCGGTCACCAGCGCCACGCGGCTGCAGGACGACATGACTGACCCGGGCGCGCGGGACACCTGCGTGGACACCTGGAGGGCGGACCAGGCTTCGGACCACCTGGGGCGCGCCCCGAGGAGCCCAGCTAGTGTCAATGCCGCTAGTGTCAATGCCGCCGCGCAGACTAAGATCCAGCGCTGCGAGTCTTAAAGAACAAGGCCCCGGCCTCGGTCCCTCCCCTCCGAGGAGGGGCCGTCTGTGCCTTCTGTTCCAACTCCTGGGCCCGCCCCCTGCCCACGCTGCGCCCTTCAGGATCCGGGCTCTGAGCCTCAGGGTGATCTGAGAGATGTCTGAAGCCAAATCGAACCTTGATGGGTCAGTCGGGGACTCCAGATTCATGGCAGCTGGACTGAAGAAGTTATTTTGGGAAAACCCCAAAGTGAGAAAAACAAGTGCTGAGTAATTTTCTTGGGTGTGCGCCCATCATGCACGCAAAATGCGAATGTTTGCCTTTTCCTAAGATGCAGTAACTTTACTTAGACACAGTAACTGCTTCTCTGGACATAGATCCCCTTGCTTGCTTAAAAGGAACTCAGGAGAGGGAATTAGATGCCCTGTGAGCACACCTAGCAGGTGTGGGCAGGCGACATCGCTCTGGGATTCCCAGCGAATGTGCCCCCAAGTGGGAGGGAATGTTCTTATTTAATCCTGACTTAACTCCTATGGGTGCTAAAAGTGTCTGCATTTAGGTTTGCCCAAGGAGGATATAGATCCATAGAGATCTGGATTGATCATATATTCTCACAGTGAGATCTGTGTACCGGCAAAGAAAGTTAAACTGAAACCAAATTCCCAAAGGCGTGTCAAGCTGTGGGCACAAAATTAGAGCCCCATCCATCGTCTTCAGTGTAAACTGAGTTGTTTGATCAGTGACTTTGAGATTTGGGGAGAACTGTGACATCATCACGACTCAGTCTTTTCCATGCAGAGCTGGCTAACCCGCCTGTGTCTGTTACTCTGACTCCACCTTCTCTCTCAGGTCCTTACTTGAGGTTCCGGAGGTGGGCCCCTGCTGTGATCTCCTACTGTGCTTACCCCAGTATTTCCTTTTTTCTCCTAAAGATCATTTGGTCTGGATGCGGTGGTTCACACCTGTAATCCCAGCACTTTGGGAAGCTGAGGCGGGTGGATCACGAGATCAGGAGTTCAAGACCAGCCTGACTAACATGGTGAAACCCCATCTCTACTAAAAATACAAAAATTAGCTGGGTGTGGTGGTGTGTATCTGTAATCCCAGCTATTTAGGAGGCTGAGGCAGGAGAACTGCTTGAACCTGGGAAGCGGAGGTTGCAGTGAGCCGAGATCATGCCACTGCACTCCAACCTGTGCAACAGAGTGAGACTCCTTCTCAAAACAAAAACAAAAACAAAATCATTTGGAACCTTGTTTTAAGGATATGGGGCTATTTAGGTTTTCTATTTCTTTCTTTCTTTTTTTTTTTTTTTTTTGAAACAGGGTCTTCTCTGTCACCCAGGCTGGAGTGTAGTGCTGCAGTCATGGCTCACTGTAGCCTTAATTTCCTGAGCTCAGGTGATCCTCCCCTCTAGCCTCCCCAGTAGCTGGGACTACAGGTGTGCCACAGTCATGCCTGGCTAATTTTTAAATTTTTATTTTAATTTTTATTTTTGAGATGGGCGTCTCACTGTGTTGCTCAGGCTGGTTGAACTCCTGGGCTACATCGATTCTCCCTCCTCGGCCTCTCAAAGTGCTGGTGTTACAGGCTTGTGTCACCGTGCCTGGCCCAGTTCTTCTTGAGTGACCTTAATTTCTGTTTTTCACTATTTTAGTTGGTTAAATAAAGCATTGATCCTGTTTTATCACTTGGCAGGAAAACTAGACAATCCACCAGCCCAGGAGGGGACAAGCAGGATTAATCCTCCTCCTTGTCATCTCTGGCTCCAGCCCCACCCTGGTCCATCTTGGCATTCTTCCTCTTCACGTGGCTGGGGTGGCCACCCCCATAGGGAGGCAGAGGGAGAAGTCGATTGCTTCTGGGAATCCAGGCGGACAGTGAAAAACGGGATATTCACCACCTGCTCATGGACACGGATATGACCTGGCGGATAAGCACACAACCGTGGCGGATGGACTTACCCAAGCCCAGCTTGAAGACCTGGGTCTGTAGGCATCTCTCTAAGAAATCATCGATCTTCAGGCCCACGATGTAATCCAGCTTCATCTTTCCCTCATCCAGCTCCCCAGTGCGGACCAGCCACTGCAGCAGGGAGTGACTTCGAACAGAAGCTGTGGGTCCTTCTCGTCAAGTGTCAGCGGCTCCCTGGCAGCCTTGTGGATCTTGACCAGGGTAAATTTGACCCTCCACACCTCACATTTGTTCTGGAGCCCATACTCGCCAATCAGCTTCAGCTTTTGGTCGAGATGAGATTTCTCGAAGGGTCTCTGCGGGGTCACATAAGTTTTGCGACAAACCCAGCTCCGGGCCGCTGGCGTGTTGGCTCCACTTGCCCATCTATGCCTAAGCGCAGGCCCTGGTCATTGACAAAGAGCTCAAAATTTTTATATGTTTCATCTAAGGTGCTGATTCTATTGATACAAAGTTGTTCATAATATGCCCTTATCCTTTTAACATTGGTAGTGATGCTACCTGTCTTTTCTGAGATTGGTTTGTGTCTTTCGTACTTTTTTCTGATCTGTCTGGCTAGAGGTTTATCAATTGTTTTGATTTTCCTCAAACTTTTGGTTATAATGAGTCTCTCTCTCTCTCTCTTTTCCTGATTATATTAATTTCTGTTCTGTTCTTTGTTTCCTTTCTTCTCCTTACTGGATTTTATTTGCTCTTTTTCTAGTTTCTTACTGTAAAGGCGGAAGTCATTGATTTGCTTTGATTTGAGACTTCTTTTCTAATGTAGGCAGTAAATGGTGTAAATTCCCTCTGAGTATGACTTTAGTGGCATCTCACATTGATATGTTTTCACTTTCATTCAGTTTATTTTTATTTTCATTCTTATTTATCTTTTGAGACAGAGTCTTGCTCTATCATCGAGGCTGGAGTGTAGTGGTGCAATCTCAGCTCACTGCAGCCTCCACATCCTGGATTTAATCGATTCTTGTGCTCCAGCTTCCTGAGTAACTGGGATGCGCCTTTCACCACGCTCAGCTAATTTTTGTATTTTTAGTAGAGACGGGGTTTCACCATGTTGGCCAGGCTGGTCTTGAAGTCCTGACCTCAAGCGATCTGCCTGCCCTGGCCTCCCAAAATAGTGGGATTACAGGCATGAGCCACCACGCCTGGCTAGAAGTGTATTTTTTAGTTTCCAATTTACTTGGGGATTTTTCCAGCTATCTTGTGATTGATTTCTAACTTAAATCCATTGTGGTCAATGAACTTACATTGTACAACTTAACTACTTTTTAAATAATTTCAAAAGCTGAGAGAGATATTTAAAGCATGTTTTTATGTAATGATAATAATCTCAGAGAGAACACAGTTGAAGAACAGGAAGAATTACAAGAACAAAATGTGTGGGAAGACCAAGCACGGTGGATCCAGGAATCAGGTGGGGGCGTGGAGGGGGAAGCAGTGCACTTCTTCTCTTGTAACAGAAGGGAAGGCAGAGTGTGTGGGTTTAGACCCAAGCATGTTGGGGAAACTAAGGCCTTCCTGAGGGCATCTGCTATCTCTTTGGAGGGTGACAGATTTGAGGTCATAATTGAGAGGCATTAGTTTGGGGAAATTGAGGACAGTAGCCATTTTGCAGATTGGGAAAGTGATTTTTTTTTTTCTAGGCTTTAAAAAGAATGGTAGGGGCTGGGCACAGCGGCTCACACCTGTAATCCCAGCACTTTGGGAGGCCAAGGCAGGCAGATCACTTGAAGCCATGAGTTTGAGACCATCCTGGCTAACATGGTGAAACCCTGTCTTTACTAAAAATACAAAAAAAAAAAAAAAAAATTAGCTGGGCGTGGTGGCAGGCGCCTGTAGTCCCAGCTACTTGGGTGTCTAAGGCAGGAGAATGGTGTGAACCCAGGAGGCGGAGCTTGAAGTGAGCCAAGATCACACCACTGCACTCCAGCCTGGGCGACAGAGCGAGACTCTTGTCTCAAAAAAAAAAAAAAAAGGCAAGTGTGGTAGCGTCCATCTGTAGTCTCAGTTACTTGGGAGGCAGAGGTAGGAGAATCACTTGAACTCGAAGGGGGTGGGAGGCGGAGGTTGCAGTGAGCCGAGATCACACCACTGCACTGCAGCCTGGCAATAGAGTGAGACTCTGTCTCAAAAAAAAAAAAAAAAGAAAAAGAAAAAGAAATGGCTCTGGTTATTGCCATCAACAGAATAATGCCCCTCCCCCAAGAGGTCTGCATTCCAATCCACAGAGACTGTGAATGTTGCTTTCCTTGACAAGAGGGACTTTGCAGAAGTGATTACAGATCTTGATGTGGGGAGACTAGCCTGGGTTATCCAGGTGGGCCCAGTGTAGACACAAGGGTCTTCATGAGAGGGAGGCAGAAGGGTCCGAGATGAAGATGTGGTAGAAGCAGAGGTCAGGTGAGATTTGGAGATGGAGGAAGGGCCTGTGCCAAGGAACACAGACAGCCTCCGGAAGTTGGCAGGACAGCAGAGGGGTTCCTCCCTCAGGGACTCAGCACGGCTCTGATTCCTTGACTTTAGGACTTCCAACCTCCAGAACGGTAAGATCATACATGTATGTTGTCTCACGCCCCCTCAGTTTGTGGTAATTTGTTATAGTGGCCGTAGAAAAGGACTGCAGTTAGAGTAAGATTCCTACTTTCTGTCCTGGCTGAGAGGAAACACTTTTCTCTTGTGCTTAGTACAGGCTTGCACAAATAATTGGAATTGTGAGCAGATCTTTTAAGAAAAAGACTGGGCCGGACACAGTGGCTCACGCCTGTAATCCCAACACTTTGGGAGGCCAAGGCGGGTGGATCACGAGGTCAAGAGATCAAGACCATCCTGGCCGACATGCTGAAACCCCATTTCTACTAAAAATACAAAAATCAGCTGGGTGTGGTGGTGCACGCCTGTAGTCCCAGCTACTCGGGGAGGCTGAGGCAGGAATCGCTTGAACTCGGGAGGCAGAGGTTGCAGTGAGCTGAGATTGTGCCACTGCACTCCAGC